TCCCAGCACTTGGGAGGCAGAGGCAGGTGGATCTTTGTGAGTTCGAGACCAGCCTGGTCTACAAGAGCTAGTTCCAGGACAGGCTCCAAAACCACAGAGAAACCCTGTCTCGAAAAACCAAAAAAAAAAAAAAAACAAAATTCCTAAGCCAGACATGATGGTACACTCCTTTAATATGATGATCATATTAAATATGATATCACTTGGGAGTCAGAGACTGGAGGACATCTGTGAACTTGAGGCTAGCCCTGTTCAGCCAGGCCTACAGAGACCCTGTCTCAAAACAACAACAACAAAAAAAATTTCAAGCCAGGCAGTGGTGGTGTCTTTTTATTCCCAGCACTCAGGAGGCAGAGGCAGGCAGACCTCTGTGAGTCTGAGGCCAACCTGGTCTGCAGAGTGAGTTCCAGGGCAGCTAAGGTTACACTAAGAAACCCTGTTTCAAAAGATCCTTTAAAAAAAAGAAAGGGAGGGAGGGAAAAGGAAAGGAAAGAAAGAATGAATTCCTACCAGCTGACTTATCTACTAAATCAGTTTCCAGGCTTTCAGTTTTCCTTTTTAAGCAGAGTTGAAGTTTAAGGGATTTTAACAGTTTTAAGTATGCTTGGGGAGCACTCAGAAAGCAAAGTACCTGCTTGCAATACTGCGGTCACAGGAGAAAATGGCCCATTTCTCCCTCCTAGCAGATATTATTGAGGGAGGGACACACATGGCATCCAGAAGACAACTTTAAGAAATCAATTCTCTCTTTCTACCCCATGTTGGTCCCAGGAATCAAACTCTAGTCCTCAGGCTGTGGTCGCTTTACCTGCCAAATCATTTCACTAGCCCAATATTATTATTTGTCTTGTTCTTTTCATCAGCTCACTGTCCGTCTCATTAACCTCGGGTTTTTGCTTATTCTCTTAATGAAGCAGGGGGTGGGGTCTCACTCTAGAGGCCTAAATGGTCTCTGCCTAATATTCTCCAGCTGTACCCTCTTAAATACTAGAATTACAGACCCACACTGACCTTGTTTTTATTCCCAAGGTTAAATAAACTCTCTTAAATTCTTTCTGTGAGAAAAAAAGCAGAACATTTAATCGCCACTCTCATCACTCCTACACACTCAACATCTGCAATTGCAGGCCTTTCACCACCAGATGGTGTCCTGCGTGAATTTAACCAGCCTTAACACAGGACCACTTGTTAAGCTGCAAAGCTGGACATAGTGATACAGACTATGTACGCCAGCAGCTTTGAGAAAGATGGAGGCAGAGGAATCCAAGGTTATCCTTCACTACAGAATGTGTTCCAGACCAGCCTAAAGTACCTGAGACCCTCTATCTAAAACAAAGGAGGAAAATCAAATCAAGTAGAAAAGTTGATTGTTATATTCACTTGCTCTTTGGGAAAGTATCAGAAGTGATCTGAGAGTGTTTGAGCATCCTTAAGCATTAAACAATGTAAAAGACACACTGTCATACCAGGTATCTAGTGGACAGTATCTTCTTCAAAACTCTTGGGATGTGCTAATCTGGGTTTTGCATTTGCTAGATGAAAAAAGTGTTGTTATGGGCCCAATGCTGCTGGTTTAAACAGGAAAATGGTACTATCACTTAATACTAACAGGCCTGCTTAAAAAGTGGAGTCAGTAGCTGGGCGGTGGTGACGCACGCCTTTAATCCCAGCACTCGGGAGGCAGAGGCAGGCGGATCTCTGTGAGTTCGAGACCAGCCTGGTCTACAAGAGCTAGTTCCAGGACAGGCTCCAAAACCAAAGAAACCCTGTCTCGAAAAACCAAAAAAAAACCAAAATAAAACAAAAAAAGTGGAGTCACTATTCAGAGGAACTCCTAATTCAGTCTTAACAGTAAGCAAGAATACTCACCACTCCAGTATACTATTTGTCCTTAACACAAATACTTCATACATCTAAGGCTGGCATCAATAACAACAAAGATATATAGTTTGTTTTGGTTCTTCAAGATAGGGTTTCTCTGTGTAGCTCTGGCTGGTCTACAATGTACTCTATAGACTAGGATAGCTTTGAACTCCTCTGCCTCCGGGAGTGCTGTGAGTAAAGGCAGTTTTGCATGTTTTTTTTTTTTTTTGGTTTGTTTGTTTCTTGGTTGTTTTGTTTTGATTTTGAGGTAAGGTCTCACTACGTGTAGATCTGGCTGACTTGAAACACAGGAAACTGGCCTGTCTCTGCCTCAAGCAATAATTTCTTTCTTTTTTCCAAGATGGTTTCTTTGTGTGTGGCTGTCCTGAACTCCATCTGTAAACCAGGCCTTGAACTTAGAGATGTGCCTGTCTCTGCCTCCCACTGCTGGAATGAAAGGTGTTACCACCAAAATGTTCCACTCTAAAACTCAGTGATCTGGCCAGTGGTGGTGAAGCACGCCTTTAATCCCAGCACTGGGGAGGCAGAGGCAGGCGATCTGTTGAGTTCGAGGTCAGCCTGGTCTACAGAGCAAGTTCCAGGACAGTTAGAGCTGTTACACAGAGAAACACTGTCTTGAAAAACAAAACAAAACAAAAATAAAATGATCTGATCCCATCTTCCACTGCACAAAACCAACTTAAAAAGCCAACTTCTCCAAGTGGCAGAGAAAGGGAAATCTCTGTGAATTCGAGGCTAGCCTTAGTCTACAGAGCTAGTTGCAGGACAGCCAGGACCATTAAACAGAGAAACCCTGTCTCGGAAGGAAGGAAGGAAGGAAGGAAGGAAGGCAGGCAGGCAGGCAGGCAGGCCGGCCGGCCGGCCAATTTCTCAGGCTATGAAGCTGGGTTAGCTGGCCAAATAGTTAGGTTCCACAAGTCTGGCAACTTAACTTCCTTCCACCCCAGTAACGCATGAAAGGAGAAAACTGACTCCTACAGTTGTACTCTGGGCTGGCATGGGAGAATAACCCAGCTGCTAAAAAGTGAAGCCTGTCGCAAAAAGAGAAAAAAAAAAAGTAGGGGATGGTAGCGCACACCTTAATCCCAGCACTTGGGAGGTGGAGGCAGAGTCAAACTGATCACTGAGTTCCAAGGCTACACAGTGAGGCCCTGAAGTATTTAAAAAAAAAAAAAAAAAGCGCTCAAGTTCAGATCTGGTACTGTAGATATATATACACACACACAGAAGGTTGGTACTAACAGGAGACAGCATGTGAGAGAATTGTATGGAGGAGTTCCACTATTGTACCATAGCATGCACATTTCAAATACACACACAAATCAAAGTATTTTAAAAGCCAACCTGGGGGCTGGAGAGATGGCTCAGAGGTTTTAAGAGCACAGGCTGGTCTTCCAGAGGTCCTGAGTTCAATTCCCAGCAACCACATGATGGCTCACAACCATCTGTAATGAGATCTGGTGCCCTCCATGCCAGAACACTGTATAATAAATAAACCTTTAAAAAAAGAGAACCTGGCCAGGTATGGTGAGGCACCCTTTAGTTACAGCACAGAGGCAGGGGCAGGCAAATCTGTGTTCAATACAGAGCAAGATGCAGGACAGCCAAGGTTATACAGAATTCCTGTCTCAAAACACACACACACACACACACACACACACACACACACACACACACACGGCCAATTCCTCCTTCAGAGGTCTGCCTGTGCAAATCAGCGGCAGGAGAGAAAACTTCCTCCACAAACTGTTCTAGCACATCACCCACCCATACCTGCGCAAAAGGAACACTTCTTCCCAAATTTCTTATTTTCTCTAATTCCAAGGCTACACACGCAGTTCAATACAAGTGCCTGCACGGCTCACAGCCGTAGTGATCACACACCGGAGGCAAATTCTCCCTGTGGTCGTGACACCCCAAGTCCCGGAATACATGTGCCCAATTCCTTTCAGGTACCTTTAAGTCTGGTGTAAGGTTTACTTCACAACCAACAGACTAAGTTCAAAAGTCCAGGATGCATTTTCTTTGGGGCCGTTCCCTCCTCTGGCTCCTTAAGTCTAACTTTTCTACTAAAGCAGTTAGTTGCCTTAAAGAAGTCCTGACTTCCCTAGCAAGCAAAAAGTCCGAGTTCAATTCCCTAGATTACAGAGCCTAGAAAGAGGGGATACAGTGGAGTTACTAACCATAAAATCTGACCACAAATCTATGGGTCCAATAAAGATATTAATAAAATTAATCCCAATAAAGATATTAATAAAAACAAAGTGGATGCACTGGATGGACACTCCCCAACTGCTTGGGCGTGCCTGAGGAGGTGGGCCCATCCCCTCCGTTCACTTTCTGCAGTCCACACATAATTTCGGTTTAAACTTCTGACAAACAACCTATTCTGTAAAATAAAAATCGCCGTCTCCAATTTTTTTCTTCAAGACAATCTTATGGCTTGCAGTGTAGACTTTCCTTGTCTACACAACAGAAGCGAATTAAGACTTAATGTAAACTTCAGTTACGTAAACTTTAGTTACATAAACCCACAGCAAATCTAACAGCAAACGGGTTTTGGAAGTAAACTGAGCCAGGTAGGTCACCTAGCAAACTTTCCAACAGTTCCAGGATGAGCTTGGAAACCTCCTCGGCCCTCCCACCCGGTCCCCTAGGCAGCCCGGGCTGGCGATCGCGCCTCCCATAGTCGTCTTGCTCTTCGCACGCCACCTGACCCCTTGCTTGCAGAATGCAGTGAGGATGCCAGAACAGGGTGACACCAGCCTCACCGACTCCTGTGGCTCTGTGGCGGAGGTCGCGCGTGCCGGGCCCAACCGCCAATGCAGACCAAGGGAGCCAGAGGACCCGGGGTAGGCCTGATCCGGCACGGCAGAAGCTTTCCACGAACCTAGTCTAGCCGCGGCCCAGACCAGGAACAACTTAGGCCTCAGGCCTAGACTCTAGCCCAAAGCTTGGACTGGAACCCGCTCGGCCCCGGCGAGCAGTCCCGGCCCCGCTGTCGGCCCGGCTTTCCTGCGCCCGTGTCCCAGGCGCAGAGCAGGTCACCCTATCCGCACCTCCCCTCTCCCGCCACGGCCAACCCTGCTCTCCACCCCGCTCCGCAGGTCCCTCACCGAGGACGCGGCGGCCGGCGAGGGGGGGGAGTCGGGCGGCCGGTCTCCTCGCGGCTCTGGCACAGCTGCGCTGGCGGCGGTGGCGGCGTCTCCTCGCGCTTTCCTTTCTCTCCTTTTCTCCAACAACAAACAGGAAGTGCGTCATGCGTTGGCGGCGACGTCAACTTCCGCCCGGACCTGAAGCCACGCATGTGCGCCAGCATTTGCCCGCTCCGGTTTACGTCGGATTCCACAGCGCCAGTTTAGCTTTTGAAAGATTCCGCCAGCCTTGGACGGTGAAACTCAGGAGAGTCTCTCTACAAGCGAAGGCGGAAAAGTAGAGCGGGAAGAGCCATCCTGCGCTGCCTCAGGGCCTGGAAGCCTCCAAAGCCGGTGGCGACTTGTAGGCGACCCTGAGTTACTGACCCGGGGGCCTGCGGTTGCCCTAAAGCGGACAGGAAGGACGCTCACAGCCTCCGCTTGTGGAAACTGACCCAGAAAGTTCGGAGATAGCCATCAAAGATAGCTTAATGTGACTCACACGGCTTATATACGTGGAGAGTTGTAGTCCCGAGGTTTGGAAGAAAGGCAACACCCTCGAGGTTCGGTCAGTCCGACCAGCAGTCTCAATCCTTCTTAGTGCCCCTGTCCCCAGCCTTAAGCGCTTAGGGGCATAAGAGGCCCCATCATTACCAGCGTGGAATGCTGACTAGAATCCAGAGTCTGGTTTTCAACCACCTTCTCACCACACAGAATTTTCTTTTGGTTTTTTTGTTTGTTTGTTTTATTTTGTTTTTCGAGAATGAATTTTCTTCCCCAATGACATTGACCCCAAGGCCCGGCACGTGCTAAGCAAGTGTTTCCGTGAGCCCTCTCCCCACCCTCTTTTTATTTTAAGACAGGGTGCCACGCCCCTGAATTTCCACCTCTGACCTTGAACTTTCCATCTCAAGACTGGAAAGTAACTGGGCTCTCTGGTTTTGTATTAATAACCTTCACCACGCCCAGTTTACCTGTGCTAGACAGAAGGCATTTTGCACATTTCTGCTACTTAGTAATGAGAAACAAGTAGTTCCAATGTGGCTTCCCCAAGCCAGGCTCATTAGCCTAAAGACTCAACCTCCAAAACTAAACAACTGACCTTAGGTACCAAGATCAACAACACACTCAGTCTGCCTTCACTCTAAGAGTTCTGAATGTTGATGTTCATATAGTGCCTTCATGAGCACAATATTGTTTTACTTTTCTTTTGTTAATGTGCCTACTGCCCATCTATTTAATAGGCTTGTTAGATTAAAAATTACAACAGGTTGCTTTTTCACTAGGGAAACAGACTGGGCTAAAATTCAAAATGGAATCACTGAGATCAAAAATCAAATATAACTAAACTGTTACCTGTTCATGCTGGCTACTATTACATCAATTTGTCACGAGCTAGAGTCATCAGAAAGAGAGAGCCACACTGAGAAAATGATCTGCTGTAGGCAACCTGTAGGACACTTTTTTAAAAATAATTCATGCCAGGCAGTGGTGGCGCACGCCTTTAATCCCAGTACTCGGGAGGCAGAGGCAGGCGGATCTCTGTGAGTTCGAGGCCAGCCTGGTCTACAGAGCTAGTTCCAGGACAGGCTCCAAAGCCACAGAGAAACCCTGTCTCGAAAAACCAAAAAATAAAAAAAAAAAAATTCATTTTTGTTTTATGAACATCAATTGGTGTTTTGCCAGCATGTATGTCTGCTCTGGAACTGGAATTACATACAGTTGTAAGTGGCTGTGTGTGTGTGTGTGTGTGTGTGTGTGCTGGGAATTGAATGTGGGTCCACTGGAAGAGTAGCCAATGTTCTTAACTGCTGAGTCATCTCCAGCCCCAGGCATTTTTTTTTTTTTTTTTTTTTTTTTTTTTGGTTTTTCGAGACAGGGTTTCCCTGTGGTTTTGGAGCCTGTCCTGGAACTAGCTCTTGTAGACCAGGCTGGTCTCGAACTCACAGAGATCCACCTGCCTCTGCCTCCCGAGTGCTGGGATTAAAAGCGTGCGCCACCACCACCCTGCCCCAGGCATTTTCTTAATTAGTGATTGATGTGAGAGGGCCCAGCCCTTTGTAGATAGGTCCACCCTACTCACTTGGCTCAATGTTCCATAAGAAAGGACTCTGAGCAAACCAGGACACAGCACTCCTCCTTGACCTCTGCATCAGCTCCTGCCTCCAGTTAAACAGTGATGTGGAAATGTAAACCTAATAAACCCTTCCCCCCCCCCCCCCGCCCCAAATTTCATCACAACAATAGTAGCCCTAACTAAGAAACTGCCCTTCCTAGAAAACAATTTCCCCAACTGGCCAGTTTCAACTGACATAATAATAAAGTTATCTCTGTCTTTTAACCTCGCTTTTACCTATAAATTATCTTTCTATTGCTGGGTCTCCTAGGCTCATTGTGCTAGGAAAGTCACTTTGAAAGGCTGTGGCTTCCTTTTCTATTCCTTCTTTGGCCTTTCCTTGATCATCCCATCAAACACTACCAAAGGAAGCCTTGCCTGAATTGAATTGGAAACAAAGTCAGTTAAGATTGTGCTTGGGTGTGATGGCACACACCTATAATCCCAGCATTCTGGAGCTATGTGAATCAGTCTCTGTCTCAAAAATAATAAGATTGAGCCGGGCGGTGGTGGTGCATTCCTTTAATCCCAGCACTCAGGAGGCAGAGGCAGGCAGATCTCTGTGAGTTTGAGGCCAGACTGGTCTACAAAGGAGTTTCAGGACAGGCTCCAAAGCTACAGAGAAACCCTGTCTCGAAAAACCAAATATATATATATAGATTGTTAAGTCATGCTGTAGTTGAGATACTGGGTGATTAGGATACTGAAGCAGGAGGATTACCACAGGGTCAACTTGAACTACAGAGTTGAGACCCTGTCTCAAAAATAAGTGTAGCCAGTAATGGTAGCCCACACCTTTAATCCCAACACTCAGGAGGCAGAAGAGGGTAAATCTCTGAGTTTTGAGGCCAGCGAGCTACATGGAGAGACCGTGTCAAAAAAAAAAAAGTAAACTATTGTGATGTGTACCCGTGAGTGAGCATTTGGAAGGCTGAGGCAGGAGAATCAGGAATTCAAAGGAAACTTGTGACGTCACGAAAAGAAAAATCATTGTGATTTTGCCCTCTGACAGGTCAGTTCTAGAGACCCCAGAGGCTAAAAGAAGCTTTTTTGTGTTGTCCTTCTGCAATAACATGTTCTCGTTTTAGACAACTGAAACATCCATTGTCGGTACTAATGTTTCTTCCTCAGTACCGTGTTCACAAAGGGGTGTGATTTAGTAGACAGGGTAGATGCCCCATTGGGGAAGGAAAAATTCAGAGACCCTCGTATCCCTTCTTCAGCAGTCAGACTTAAAGCAAGAGATAACCAAGGAAATGAAATTACCTCAGGACCCATGCTAGAGGGAAGCAAAGACAAGAAGAACTTGCCTCCCCAGATGATATTATCCCACAGAGCAGCACATGTGTAGTGAGCTCCTGGCTTCAGGTCATCTTTTCTATAGCATTGTAACACTGCACAGAATAGGACAAGAGAAACAAATTGGAGTCTTTCCAATTTGTCCAAGTTGCAAATAAATGCATTCATTATCCTGAACCGGGTTTAGTACCACACATCTGGCCTTCCAGCTCTTGGGATGTAGAGGCAGAATAATATTCAAGCTTATTATCGGTTATATAGTGAGTTCCAGACCAGCCTGGGACACGAGTCCTGTCTCAAAAACTATATAACTACACACACACACACACACACACACACCCTTCTAAATATATATTCACAGATACATGTGAATGAAAAAGGAAAGTTTGATTAGAGTTTAAAAAGATAGACCTGGGGGGCTGGAGAGATGGCTCAGTGGTTAAGAGCATTGCCTGCTCTTCCAAAGGTCCTGAGTTCAATTCCCAGCAACCACATGGTGGCTCACAACCATCTGTAATGAGGTCTGGTGCCCTCTTCTGGCCTGCAGGCATACAGACAGATAGAATACTGTATACATAATAAATAAATAAATATTTAAAAAAAAAAAAAAAGATAGACCTGGGGCTGGAGAGATGGCTCAGTGGTTAAGAACACTGCCTGCTCTTCCAAAGGTCCTGAATTCAATTCCCAGCAACCACATGGTGGCTCACAACCATCTGTAATGAGGCCTGGTGCCCTCTTCTGGCCTACATACAGACAGAATATTGTATACATAATAAATAAATATTTTTTAAAAAAAAAAAAAAGATAGACCTGAGTGTCTCTGGAGAAATGACTCAGTAGTTAAGAGCATTTGTTGTTCTTTTGCTTTGTTTCTGAGATAGGGTTTCTCTGTAGCTGGAGCCCATCCTGGAACTAGCTCTTGTAGACCAGGCTGGCCTCGAACTCACAGAGATCCACCTGTATCTGCCTCCCGAGTGCTGAGGTAAAGGCGTTTACCACCACAGCCCGGCACATTTGTTGTTCTTGCAGAGCACCTGGGTTCAATTCTCAGCACCCACAATGACAGGATCCCACAGGCACCAGACAGGCACTTAGTGCATACTCATATGTATGAACAAATCATTCATAAAGTAAAATTTTTTTTATTTACAAGAGAAATCCCAGAGCAAGCAAGCTGTAAAAACTTAGCTGCTGCTCAAAGGCAGAGAATGGAGAAGAGAAGGTTCAGAAAATCATACCATTTGAGCAGGCATAGGGATCAGACATATGGCCAACAAACAGTCGTGTGGCAGGGAGGTAAACTTTAAAGAGTAAATTGAGAGGCATGGCGCACAAGCCTTTATTCCCAGTACTCAGGAGGCAGATCTCTGTGAGTTCGAGGCTAGCCTGATCTACAGAGAGTTCCAGAGACAAGAGCTAGACAGAGACAGGGGAAACATGCTTAGAAGAGGGATGGCTGGGGATGAAAAAGGAGTGTTTGAGTTACATGGTTCTCAGTTATTCGAGAGTGGCTGACTTACAACCTTACATGTTTGTTGTCTGTAATCTGCCAAATTTCTTGGGTTTTTTTGGTTTTTAGGTTTTTTTTGTTTTGCTGTTGGTGGTGGTAGTTTGGTTTGGTTTGGTTTTTTGAGACAGGGTTTCTCTGTGTGTAGCTCTGGCTGTCCTGGAACTCACTCTGTAGACCAGGCTGTCCTGGAAC